CGCAGGTGCGTTCTTCAATCCGAACGGAAGTCGCTTGAATTCGTATAACCCATCTGTGGTGATGAAGGCAGTAAACTTTCGGCTCTCTGGGACTATCTCTATCTGATAGTATCCACTGTTGAGGTCTAGGGATGAGAAATACTTAAATCTTTTCGCCTGCTGCAGACGTTCTTCGATGTTTGGCACTGGAAAGTTCTCCTTCTTGATCAGCTTGTTTAGGCGGCGGTAATCGACGCACATTCGATCGCTACCATTCGGCTTCTTGATGAGCACCACCGGACTGGCGTACTCTGATGTTGTCAACGTGATGATGTCCTGCTTTAGCAGCTCGTCGACCATGCTGCTTACGATTTCTTTCTTTGGCTCGGATACTCGGTATGGGGCTTGTGCTACTACCTGATTGCTTTCGACGGTGATGTCTGCTTTGACCACGCTTGTCTTTCCTATGCCTTCCAATCCTGTCGAGAAAACATCGGCGAAGTTCTCCAGTAAGCTGCGCATTTGCTTACATTCTTTGTCGTTCTTAAAATTTTCTAGCAGCTTCCCGATATTGGTGCTTACAGGGGTTGTTGGCTGATGGACTGCTCGTTCGATTTTAGAATCGCCTGACTCAAAGTTGAGCTCGAGATGAGCGGAGATGATGACGTCCTGTCCCAACAGAAAGTCCTCCTGCAATATATCGTTGTCTGCTATATACACTTTCGCTGTAATCGTCTTCCCATCGATATCCATATCCACAGTCACCGCTTCTGTGAGGATACATGAACCTCCGCAAATGCCTCTAATCTTCATAGAGCACTTGTGGCGCTTGGCGTTAATTTGCTCGGCAACTGATTGTCGGATGAGACTGGCTTGACTACCCGTGTCGATGAAGGCGCTGTAATCGTGCGAGTGTACGCAGATTTTCCTCGTGAAAAGTTTGTCCTGATTTGCGGCTCCTACACGCATGACATTGGTGGCTTGGCAACTTCCATTTGGCTCGTGGAACTTGTTGCATTTGGTACAGCGTGACTTTTTCTTCTCCTTTGGACACGAATTGGCAAAGTGTCCTTTTTCTCCGCAGTTGTAGCATATAACGGATTCCTTTGTCCTTGGTGGTTTAACATCGCTGTCTGGTTTCTGCTCGAAGTTGCTGGCTTTCGGTGAATACTCTTTCTTGCTCGTATTTGGCCGACATCGATTAACGAAATACGATTCGGCTGCATCACGAAGCTGTTTCATTGTGGCGAAATGAATTGCTGCAATACTGTTTTGCAATTCACGATGCTGTAGACCTGCGCGAACATATCTGATGATCGCTGCCTCGCTGAGCTTGTAGCGCACCCCAAGGGCTGACATCCTGAAACAGTACTCCTTTACCGTCTCCTTTGGTCGCTTGGTTGCATTGGCCATGTTGAAATGCACTTCTGCTTCGTCTGGATTTGCTCCGAACTCATCCTGTATAGCTTCGGCGAAGTTTTTTCACGTAGTGTGTAGAATGGGTGATGAATCTAGCCACATCTTGGCTGGACCTTTTAGCTTTGTATAAATGGCGAGTAACAGGAACTTCTCGTCCCACTGGTAGGCATCAACCACTTTGTTGACACGATCGATGAACTGATTGACTGAAATGGCGTTGTCGTCGTTGGGATCAAATTCTGGCAAGGTGTTGGCAATTTCCTTGACTGAAGCTTGCCTCACGTTGTTCGTAGCCTGTACAGGAATGCTCTCGTTGTTAATCTCGTTGATATCCAAATCGATTATTTGGTGCTGTTGCTGACTTCCTGCATGTGCTGGTGCTGCGTTTCCCATTTGAACGGTAACTAATTGAGCTAACATGTCCTTTAGTTCCTTCATCTCGTTTTGCAATTGTGAAATTGCCGCTGACTGTGGTGACATCGTTTCTTCTTGCTGCATGTTGATACCCACTGCTGCTGGCAGTTCTACGTCCTCCGATTGTTCAAACTCTATTAATCTTTGAACCAATTCGGCTCTGGTGCCCGAAACTGACACGTTTCTAGATCTCAGCAGGAATCTTAACACGTCGCCTTTAAGATCTGCTATTTTCGGCATTTTAATGTTGTTTTAGCGACTAGGTTGGCAGTTCTCTTTGCGAGCGAGACAACTATATGTACCTCACAAAGTTCTGCATCTGCTTTCTCCCTTGACCAATACACACAAACTCCTTGTATGCATGTATGCGCTCCGGCTTCTAGAAAATTCTGACTTGCATAAACTTGTAAAATTCACCAATACTCACAACCGCTTTGTGTGTATGTGCTTTGGCTTCTCTTGAGACTTCTGCTGCTCTTGAGACTTCTGCGGCCACAGGCTCACTAAGAATCCTGATCTAACTGATATGCTTGACTCCACGGGTTCACTAAGATTCCCGATCTGCTTTCCTTGAATCCGTCTGCCACGTAGAACTGGAACAAATCCGTAATTTGCAATTTTAGCTGTCACATAGACCTGGGAACACATCCCATTGCAAACTTTCCACGCCGACGATTCTTGCTGCTTTCTTAGAGTTCTTGGCACAACTCCTCCGCTTCACACATATCCAACCACACTGATCCCACTTCTGAACTGAGAAGGGTAGCTTTTTGAGTGGTGTAGGTTTTATTTATGATAGTTGTGTAGGATATAAGGTTACATATAGAAATTATAACTATAAGTGTTCTGCGCACGTTCTGCTCTTGAGTACGACTCTGTCTCGACTACTTTACATTTGGAGAGTCCGGTAACATTATAAAAAAAGGACTTATTCTACACTAATATTGAAGGTTTGGTATATACTATATTAGGCGCTGTTCACACATGCTAGAAAGGTCCGCTGACGGAGTATTAATTATGTCTTCAAATTCACTGAGTCGGTCCGAGACCTCAATGAACTTGTTAAGCGCAATTTCGGAAGCTAACCATAGGAGTGAGCGAGAGGCAAATACGCGGCATCCTGCCGGGCGCGTTCTCGCAAAGAAAGTAAGGTCTGGCCAAAAGAATTTGGTTGCGTTGTACTAATACAAGTATCTTTTTAGCAGAACCACCAGTAACACGATCTCCGACGACCTCTCCATTAGGACTCCGGACACCACCACCACCAGCTACTTGGCAGCTTAGGCGGAGCTGGAGGACCCTCTGGCTTCTATAGGGAGGAGGAAAATAGGGCGCCCGCTAAGGAACAGTTGGAGAAGCCATAGCCAGCCAGATGGCGAAGTGTTTGTGGGACGAGAAGGAAGCTTTAAACTACTAATTTACATACATGAAAACATTCGTTGAACATTCCATTTATTATACCCGTTACTCGAAGAGTAAAAGGGTATACTAGATTCGTCGGAAAGTATGTAACAGGCAGAAGGAAGCGTTTCCGACCCCACAAAGTATATACATTCTTGATCACGATCACTAGCCGAGTCGATCTAGCCATGTCCGTCTGTCCGTCTGTCCGTATGAACGCTGAGATCTCGGAAACTATGAGAGTTACAATACTGGGATTAGGCACGCAGATTCCTGAGATTCCTGCGCAGCGCAAGTTTGTTTCAGTAGAGTGCCACGCCCACTCTAACGCCCACAAACCGCCCAAAACTGTGGCTCCTACAGTTTTGATGCTAGAATAAAAATTTTAACTGAAATGTAATGTTCTCATCAATACCTATCGATTGACCCAAAATAAAGTTTGCCACGCCTACTTTAACGCCCACAAACCGCAAAAACCTGTGACGCCAACAATTTTCATGCTAGATAAAAAATGTTAACTGAAATGTATTGGTCTCGTCAATACTAACGATTGATTGATTTGCCACGCCCACTCTAACGCCCATAACGCTTAATTCTGTATACCGCAGGTAGATGGCGCATTTTAATCTCGCTTTGCTGCTTGCATATCTCTATTTAGCTGAGTAACGGGTATCTGATAGTCGAGGTACTCGACTATAGCGTTCTTCCTTGTTTTTATTTAAATTTCTTTGTGTACCAGCAGACTCCTCCTTTTCAAATTTCTCCAATTGATTTGTTTTCCGTTTGGCAACAAACCCAACTTCTTGACAGTAAGACCATCCTATATGCATTGCGGGTGAACTTTGACAACTTCGGTCACACTACAAGGAATAAGATTTTTCGACTAGTGATACTCTTAGCCGATCTGAGTACTAGGCTTACAGCATTACGTTTATTAAGTATTCAAATTGATGTTGTCAATGAAATCAAAAGCAATTAAGTGAAGACAATTCTATATTTATCACTTCTTATGTGCCTCTTCAACTGGTGACACAGTCGCCAAACCCAATAATTATATGGAAGAACCCTAGGCCATCATCGACTCGAGATGAAATTTCTATACAGCACAGCCTCCAACTCACAATAGTGAACGGTAAAGATTGCACTGCATTGAGTGGAACATCTTTAACAAAATGTTATGTATGCGAAGCCAAGCCAACTAAAATGAACAATATAGACACGCTTACGTATGATTTTTTGAATATTTTCTCCATGTATCATATCGTTTAGAGATACAGTCGTGGCAAGTCAGATCTGCAATTGATAAAAACAATCTGCAGATACGAAAACGCTGGATCCAAACCGAGTTCCGAAAGAAAATTGAGCTTATAGTAGTGTTTGTGCCTAACCGAAGTAGACACTTCTGGGCCACACCGCGGGACAAGGGGGTAATGAGCACTTGTCGCTGGCACGGGGACGCTTTGATGGCAGGACGATCGCGTCGCAGCAATGGTAACGATGGTTACTGCGATGCCGGACCACAGGAGATGCTGGAGCTGCGTTGAGGGTGAGCTAACGTGGTTAGCTGCTAGTTGAGATAGTGTATTACGAGCCCTATTCCCAGTTGTAGGAAGTAGAACCGCGGAGTATTGAGTCGTGTTGATAACTGATTTATTCTTCATTTGATGAATGTTTATATACTACTTGAAACACGGAAGTTTAGTGAAATGAGTGAAATACGCTATATTCTAAAGTAGGTCAGGGAATTATGATTATGGTAGCAGTTAATGCAGTTGGCTCGGCTGACCCTGCAACATGTGCTGACTGCATTGGCTCGTCAATGTTCCGTTGAGTCGGTGAGTTAGTGAGACATATAATATGATGATATGCAATTCTCATATGCAGTGGGTGCTACTGAGCGCCTGGTACTGTTCCCAACTTGGCTATTGCTTGATTTGTTGGGTGTGACCAAAGTTTGGCGGTAGTGGCTCGTCAAACTATGGAAACACGTCCGCAGATTTTTAAAAACCCTCAGCTGGCTGCCCGTATTACAGGACTTGATAATTAATTAATCAGATCAATCAGCAGATGCACCACCATTTTGTAAGCTTTAAATTCTGGCTACAAAACTAATTTAGATAAATTTAGAAATTATGCTCTAGAGACAGACAAATAATAGAAACATATCCTTGCTACTACTTGCCAGGTTCCGTGCATAAAATCTTAATTCATAGACCTGAAGTCATAATTGATATTGGAGAGCTGTCTGAGGAAGCTGCTGAAGCGAAAAAAAAGATTTAAAAAGGTTTAGATTTCAGCATACAAGAAATTTTTCTCGAGAAGCATGAAATACTAACCTGGTCAACAGATTATTACTTAGTTCAGACCCTCTTATAAGTGGATTAAGAAAATTACCACGCGAAAAGAAAACATTAATAATGTTTTTAAAACTATTTTTTTTCACAATTTTAGTAATAACTTAACATTTTTATACAAATAATTTGCATTGTTTTAACGTTAAAATTGTTTACTTTTAGTTTAATAATTTAGTTTACATAATTGACTGTGGGAAGACGCAGGGGCGTATGAGCATGCTCATTTTTTGAAAATAGTATTTTGGTATTTTTATAAGCATATGGTAAAAATTATAGAACTATAAGTCAAGCCCAACTATTTTTGTCGCGTACTTTCATAGCAGCCCGACCACTGTGCTATGCCCGCAGTACTTTGTCGCGCCCTGTCTGCCTCTCGTCGAATATTAAGGACTGACATGTGAGAAGGGTAGCTTTTTGAGTGGTGTAGGTTTTATTTAGGATAGTTGTGTTGGATATAAGGTTACATATAGAAATTATAACTATAAGTGTTCTGCTCACGTTCTGCTCTTGAGTACGACTCTGTCTCGACTACTTTACATTTGGAGAGTCCGGTAACATTATAAAAAAAGGACTTATTCTACACTAATATTGAAGGTTTGGTATATACTATATCAGGCGCTGTTCACAGTCGGCCTCTCCTGACAAATCTCTGCGTCCTCGCAGGATTCATGGGGTGGATCATCTTCAAAGTCGTCATCTTCATCGGGCTCCTCCGGTGGCAGCTCACACCAGCTCTTCATCTTGTCGGACGAATACACCGACTTGTAGTGTCTCTGCTTTCGTTGTGCGTGAGGGATATCTTCTACAAGATATCTGTCGTTCGGCAGGACCTTGGTGATTATAAAAGGTCCTTTGTAGCGCGGCTCCAATTTGCGTGATGTGCCCGTGCTGAATAGCTCATTCTCGACCAGCACAAGGTCTCCAAGGCTGTAAACAGTTGGCTTCGCATGTTTGGCATCGTAGCGTTTCTTGGCGGCAGCTCGGTGATCGTTGACAGTTCTCGCAGCATCTGCTCTAAGTTGATCCAATTCCGCATCGGTTAGCATCTTTTGGTCTTGGCTTTGAATGATGTTGGTTATCGCGTTCTTTAGGATATCTCGAGGTTCATACCCATACAGGAGCTGAAAGGGAGAGCATTTAGTTGTACTATTTACCATGGTATTAATGCTCCACTGTATTGATCGGATATTGTCATCCCAACGTTTATCGATGTCATTGGAAGGCAACAACATTGACAAAATGATGCGATTTGTGCGCTCTGCGTGACCATTGGCTCTGGGTGTCCTTACTGCATTTAAAATGTGCTTTACATTGTTTGACTTGCAGTACTTCTCGAAATCTTTTGATGTAAATGCTGTACCACGATCGGTTACAATTCGATCTGGCATTCCCAGGTAGCTGGTTACATCTTGCAGGACATCTAGGACGTGTTTAGTTGCTGTACTTTTCACCGCTCGTACAATGGTGAATTTGGTGAATGCATCGACTATTACCAAAATATGCTCGTTTCTCTTGGAACTCTTCGGAAATGGCCCCAGGTGGTCCATGTGTATCGTGGAAAAGGGAATCGGCTTAATGTCATCGTAGTGGTACTGACCTTCCTGACGTCCACCTGGTGTTTTATAAAACGCACAGCCCACACAGGATTTGATGTAGCTTTTGACATAGTTTCGCATTCGGGGAAACCAAAATAAGTTTAGAATTCTTGCCATAGTCTTATCCGTGCTCATATGTCCGGCCTTATCGTGACATTCATGTAAAATGTGGAATCTCAACTGCTTCGGCACAACCCATAATTAATTGTTGCAATGTTTTCGAAACAAGCGATCTTGCTCGATCACATACTCGACGCTCTCAGATTTCTTTTCCAATTTCATGTTTGCGACAATTTTCTGTATTTTCTCGTCCTGTAGTTGTATGGAAAACAGCCAGTCCTCTTCGTCGATTATCGTTTTTGCTATTTTCAGACTTGCGGTATCCATCTCTCGAGCATCTTCGAACGGAGCTCGACTGAGTGCGTCTACGTGGTTCATCTGTGTTCCTGTTCGATGAACGATATCTATGTCGAATTCTTGAATGCGTAACCACCATCTTGCAGTCCGGGGTATCAGTTCTCGTCTCCATCGACGTCTTTAGGGCATTGCAGTCGGTAATAACCTTTATCTTTTTGCCATAAATGTAGTATTTGAATCGCTCCAACGATTCCACGACGGCTAGAGCCTCAAGTTCGTAGCTGTGGTAATTTTTCTCCGGCTTAGAAGTAGCTCGGCTATAAAAAGCGATTGGTTTCAGCTGGTCCTCCTCACGTTGTAGCAAAACCCCGGCTAAACCAACGGCGCTGGCATCGGTATGTAGTTCATGTTCTGCGTCTAGACGATAGCTGCTGACAACTGGATTTGATATTAGACATTTTTTTAATTCGTCGAAGGCTTCTTCTTGTGGCGCTTTCCACGAAAACGGCTGATCCTTGCGCAATAGGATTCTTAATGGCGCTGAAATGATGGCATATCCAGCAACGAATTTTCGGAAATAACCAGTGAGACCCAAAAACTTTCTCACATCGGTAACATTGGCTGGTTTCGGGAACATTCTGATGGCGTTCGTCTTAATTTCTCCAGGACTGATTCCTTCTGCGTGTATCTGGTGACCAAGGAATGTTATTGACTGCTTATATAACTCACAATTGTCCAGGTTTAGCGTTAATCCGCACTCCTTTAAAACTTTTAGGATCCTCTCAAGCTTCTCGAACATCTCATCAAATGTTTGACTGCCAATAAGGATGTCGTCCATGTAGTGTATCATGTCGCCTTTCTGCACTCTCTTTTGTAACTCTGCCATGAGTCGATTAAAAACCGCAGGTGCGTTCTTCAATCCGAACGGAAGTCGCTTGAATTCGTATAACCCATCTGTGGTGATGAAGGCAGTAAACTTTCGGCTCTCTGGGACTATCTCTATCTGATAGTATCCACTGTTGAGGTCTAGGGATGAGAAATACTTAAATCTTTTCGCCTGCTGCAGACGTTCTTCGATGTTTGGCACTGGAAAGTTCTCCTTCTTGATCAGCTTGTTTAGGCGGCGGTAATCGACGCACATTCGATCGCTACCATTCGGCTTCTTGATGAGCACCACCGGACTGGCGTACTCTGATGTTGTCAACGTGATGATGTCCTGCTTTAGCAGCTCGTCGACCATGCTGCTTACGATTTCTTTCTTTGGCTCGGATACTCGGTATGGGGCTTGTGCTACTACCTGATTGCTTTCGACGGTGATGTCTGCTTTGACCACGCTTGTCTTTCCTATGCCTTCCAATCCTGTCGAGAAAACATCGGCGAAGTTCTCCAGTAAGCTGCGCATTTGCTTACATTCTTTGTCGTTCTTAAAATTTTCTAGCAGCTTCCCGATATTGGTGCTTACAGGGGTTGTTGGCTGATGGACTGCTCGTTCGATTTTAGAATCGCCTGACTCAAAGTTGAGCTCGAGATGAGCGGAGATGATGACGTCCTGTCCCAACAGAAAGTCCTCCTGCAATATATCGTTGTCTGCTATATACACTTTCGCTGTAATCGTCTTCCCATCGATATCCATATCCACAGTCACCGCTTCTGTGAGGATACATGAACCTCCGCAAATGCCTCTAATCTTCATAGAGCACTTGTGGCGCTTGGCGTTAATTTGCTCGGCAACTGATTGTCGGATGAGACTGGCTTGACTACCCGTGTCGATGAAGGCGCTGTAATCGTGCGAGTGTACGCAGATTTTCCTCGTGAAAAGTTTGTCCTGATTTGCGGCTCCTACACGCATGACATTGGTGGCTTGGCAACTTCCATTTGGCTCGTGGAACTTGTTGCATTTGGTACAGCGTGACTTTTTCTTCTCCTTTGGACACGAATTGGCAAAGTGTCCTTTTTCTCCGCAGTTGTAGCATATAACGGATTCCTTTGTCCTTGGTGGTTTAACATCGCTGTCTGGTTTCTGCTCGAAGTTGCTGGCTTTCGGTGAATACTCTTTCTTGCTCGTATTTGGCCGACATCGATTAACGAAATACGATTCGGCTGCATCACGAAGCTGTTTCATTGTGGCGAAATGAATTGCTGCAATACTGTTTTGCAATTCACGATGCTGTAGACCTGCGCGAACATATCTGATGATCGCTGCCTCGCTGAGCTTGTAGCGCACCCCAAGGGCTGACATCCTGAAACAGTACTCCTTTACCGTCTCCTTTGGTCGCTTGGTTGCATTGGCCATGTTGAAATGCACTTCTGCTTCGTCTGGATTTGCTCCGAACTCATCCTGTATAGCTTCGGCGAAGTTTTTTCACGTAGTGTGTAGAATGGGTGATGAATCTAGCCACATCTTGGCTGGACCTTTTAGCTTTGTATAAATGGCGAGTAACAGGAACTTCTCGTCCCACTGGTAGGCATCAACCACTTTGTTGACACGATCGATGAACTGATTGACTGAAATGGCGTTGTCGTCGTTGGGATCAAATTCTGGCAAGGTGTTGGCAATTTCCTTGACTGAAGCTTGCCTCACGTTGTTCGTAGCCTGTACAGGAATGCTCTCGTTGTTAATCTCGTTGATATCCAAATCGATTATTTGGTGCTGTTGCTGACTTCCTGCATGTGCTGGTGCTGCGTTTCCCATTTGAACGGTAACTAATTGAGCTAACATGTCCTTTAGTTCCTTCATCTCGTTTTGCAATTGTGAAATTGCCGCTGACTGTGGTGACATCGTTTCTTCTTGCTGCATGTTGATACCCACTGCTGCTGGCAGTTCTACGTCCTCCGATTGTTCAAACTCTATTAATCTTTGAACCAATTCGGCTCTGGTGCCCGAAACTGACACGTTTCTAGATCTCAGCAGGAATCTTAACACGTCGCCTTTAAGATCTGCTATTTTCGGCATTTTAATGTTGTTTTAGCGACTAGGTTGGCAGTTCTCTTTGCGAGCGAGACAACTATATGTACCTCACAAAGTTCTGCATCTGCTTTCTCCCTTGACCAATACACACAAACTCCTTGTATGCATGTATGTGCTCCGGCTTCTAGAAAATTCTGACTTGCATAAACTTGTAAAATTCACCAATACTCACAACCGCTTTGTGTGTATGTGCTTTGGCTTCTCTTGAGACTTCTGCTGCTCTTGAGACTTCTGCGGCCACAGGCTCACTAAGAATCCTGATCTAACTGATATGCTTGACTCCACGGGTTCACTAAGATTCCCGATCTGCTTTCCTTGAATCCGTCTGCCACGTAGAACTGGAACAAATCCGTAATTTGCAATTTTAGCTGTCACATAGACCTGGGAACACATCCCATTGCAAACTTTCCACGCCGACGATTCTTGCTGCTTTCTTAGAGTTCTTGGCACAACTCCTCCGCTTCACACATATCCAACCACACTGATCCCACTTCTGAACTGAGAAGGGTAGCTTTTTGAGTGGTGTAGGTTTTATTTATGATAGTTGTGTAGGATATAAGGTTACATATAGAAATTATAACTATAAGTGTTCTGCGCACGTTCTGCTCTTGAGTACGACTCTGTCTCGACTACTTTACATTTGGAGAGTCCGGTAACATTATAAAAAAAGGACTTATTCTACACTAATATTGAAGGTTTGGTATATACTATATTAGGCGCTGTTCACACATGCTAGAAAGGTCCGCTGACGGAGTATTAATTATGTCTTCAAATTCACTGAGTCGGTCCGAGACCTCAATGAACTTGTTAAGCGCAATTTCGGAAGCTAACCATAGGAGTGAGCGAGAGGCAAATACGCGGCATCCTGCCGGGCGCGTTCTCGCAAAGAAAGTAAGGTCTGGCCAAAAGAATTTGGTTGCGTTGTACTAATACAAGTATCTTTTTAGCAGAACCACCAGTAACACGATCTCCGACGACCTCTCCATTAGGACTCCGGACACCACCACCACCAGCTACTTGGCAGCTTAGGCGGAGCTGGAGGACCCTCTGGCTTCTATAGGGAGGAGGAAAATAGGGCGCCCGCTAAGGAACAGTTGGAGAAGCCATAGCCAGCCAGATGGCGAAGTGTTTGTGGGACGAGAAGGAAGCTTTAAACTACTAATTTACATACATGAAAACATTCGTTGAACATTCCATTTATTATACCCGTTACTCGAAGAGTAAAAGGGTATACTAGATTCGTCGGAAAGTATGTAACAGGCAGAAGGAAGCGTTTCCGACCCCACAAAGTATATACATTCTTGATCACGATCACTAGCCGAGTCGATCTAGCCATGTCCGTCTGTCCGTCTGTCCGTATGAACGCTGAGATCTCGGAAACTATGAGAGTTACAATACTGGGATTAGGCACGCAGATTCCTGAGGTTCCTGCGCAGCGCAAGTTTGTTTCAGTAGAGTGCCACGCCCACTCTAACGCCCACAAACCGCCCAAAACTGTGGCTCCTACAGTTTTGATGCTAGAATAAAAATTTTAACTGAAATGTAATGTTCTCATCAATACCTATCGATTGACCCACGCCTACTTTAACGCCCACAAACCGCAAAAACCTGTGACGCCCACAATTTTCATGCTAGATAAAAAATTTTAACTGAAATGTATTGGTCTCGCCCACTCTAACGCCCATAACGCTTAATTCTGTATACCGCCGGTAGATGGCGCATTTTAATCTCGCTTTGCTGCTTGCATATCTCTATTTAGCTGAGTAACGGGTATCTGATAGTCGAGGTACTCGACTATAGCGTTCTTCCTTGTTTTTATTTAAATTTCTTTGTGTACCAGCCGACTCCCCCTTTTCAAATTTCTCCAATTGATTTGTTTTCCGTTTGGCAACAAACCCAACTTCTTGACAGTAAGACCATCCTATATGCATTGCGGGTGAGCTTTGACAACTTCGGTCACACTACAAGGAATAAGATTTTTCGACTAGTGATACTCTTAGCCGATCTGAGTACTAGGCTTACAGCATTACGTTTATTAAATATTCAAATTGATGTTGTCAATGAAATCAAAAGCAATTAAGTGAAGACAATTCTATATTTATCACTTCTTATGTGCCTCTTCAACTGGTGACACAGTCGCCAAACCCAATAATTATATGGAAGAACCCTAGGCCATCATCGACTCGAGATGAAATTTCTATACAGCACAGCCTCCAACTCACAATAGTGAACGGTAAAGATTGCACTGCATTGAGTGGAACATCTTTAACAAAATGTTATGTATGCGAAGCCAAGCCAACTAAAATGAACAATATAGACACGCTTACGTATGATTTTTTGAATATTTTCTCCATGTATCATATCGTTTAGAGATACAGTCGTGGCAAGTCAGATCTGCAATTGATAAAAACAATCTGCAGATACGAAAACGCTGGATCCAAACCGAGTTCCGAAAGAAAATTGAGCTTATAGTAGTGTTTGTGCCTAACCGAAGTAGACACTTCTGGGCCACACCGCGGGACAAGGGGGTAATGAGCACTTGTCGCTGGCACGGGGACGCTTTGATGGCAGGACGATCGCGTCGCAGCAATGGTAACGATGGTTACTGCGATGCCGGACCACAGGAGATGCTGGAGCTGCGTTGAGGGTGAGCTAACGTGGTTAGCTGCTAGTTGAGATAGTGTATTACGAGCCCTATTCCCAGTTGTAGGAAGTAGAACCGCGGAGTATTGAGTCGTGTTGATAACTGATTTATTCTTCATTTGATAAATGTTTATATACTACTTGAAACACGGAAGTTTAGTGAAATGAGTGAAATACGCTATATTCTAAAGTAGGTCAGGGAATTATGATTATGGTAGCAGTTAATGCAGTTGGCTCGGCTGACCCTGCAACATGTGCTGACTGCATTGGCTCGTCAATGTTCCGTTGAGTCGGTGAGTTAGTGAGACATATAATATGATGATATGCAATTCTCATATGCAGTGGGTGCTACTGAGCGCCTGGTACTGTTCCCAACTTGGCTATTGCTTGATTTGTTGGGTGTGACCAAAGTTTGGCGGTAGTGGCTCGTCAAACTATGGAAACACGTCCGCAGATTTTTAAAAACCCTCAGCTGGCTGCCCGTATTACAGGACTTGATAATTAATTAATCAGATCAATCAGCAGATGCACCACCATTTTGTAAGCTTTAAATTCTGGCTACAAAACTAATTTAGATAAATTTAGAAATTATGCTCTACTTGCCAGGTTCCGTGCATAAAATCTTAATTCATACACCTGAAGTCATAATTGATATTGGAGAGCTGTCTGAGGAAGCTGCTGAAGGGAAAAAAAAGATTTAAAAAGGTTTAGATTTCAGCATACAAGAAATTTTTCTCGAGAAGCATGAAATACTAACCTGGTCAACAGATTATTACTTAGTTCAGACCCTCTTATAAGTGGATTAAGAAAATTACCACGCGAAAAGAAAACATTAATAATGTTTTTAAAACTATTTTTTTTCACAATTTTAGTAATAACTTAACATTTTTATACAAATAATTTGCATTGTTTTAACGTTAAAATTGTTTACTTTTAGTTTAATAATTTAGTTTACATAATTGACTGTGGGAAGACGCAGGGGCGTATGAGCATGCTCATTTTTTGAAAATAGTATTTTGGTATTTTTATAAGCATATGGTAAAAATTATAGAACTATAAGTCAAGCCCAACTATTTTTGTCGCGTACTTTCATAGCAGCCCGACCACTGTGCTATGCCCGCAGTACTTTGTCGCGCCCTGTCTGCCTCTCGTCGAATATTTAGGACTGACATGCTAGAAAGGTCCGCTGACGGAGTATTAATTATGTCTTCAAATTCACTGAGTCGGTCCGAGACCTCAATGAACTTGTTAAGCGCAATTTCGGAAGCTATAATAGCCATATTTGTGTTTGCTCATGTGTTACATTTTCGGGGCGACGAGGACTTATTGCTTATTTTGGGTGTGGGCGGATCTACTAAGATGCCTGGGATAACAGCAGGTGGAACAGACAACTTGTTATTATCACTTCCAAGAACTGCTTCCAACGGTGGAACGAGGTATCAACACAAGTGAAGAACAAGTAACACTCCATATAGACAATTGTATGGGATGTCCGCTTTTTCACAAGTGAAAATTCAAATGAAAATTTTTTTAAGTCTCACGGGATTTCACTTGTTCTTTATACTCATTTGTCGTATGGCCTATCACGTGCCGATGACACGTCCCACGTGAAATCACTTGTGAAATTCAGAATATTTCCAATGAGTTTTCACTTATGAATATATAGAATTTAAAATACATACATTTTAATTACATTTAAATTCATTTTAATTAGATCGTATTATTCAGATTTTCAATTAAGGGACAATAATTGTTAGTATTTCTGTTTTTCGTTTTGTAAGTTTGTTATTCACGTTCGTCATCGCCTTTTTCAAACATTTGTCCGGGTCCTCGGAGTCCTTGGCCAACGCTCGTGAAAAAATGTATGGGCATATGATTAAAAAATTTGCTTGTTTTACTTGTTTATTTGTATATTTACCTTTTAGAGCTGTGTATAAACCCTTTGCGGGATTCTTTATGGCACAAAACATTTCATCATCCATTGAATACCTTCAAAACTTACGTACTTTAAACTAAGATCAATGCACAACATCTTAAACTTAATGTAGCACTTATCAGACCTTATTATATTAACTTAAAGAAACGATTAAAGTAACTCTGCTGCGCACAATTAAAATGGATGCATCCCTTTCAATCACTCAAACAGAATGCACCAAGTCTTCTTCTCACCCCTTTACTTGATTTCTTGTGTTTTCTCTTCGCTGTTGGCTCGTGCCACTGCACCTATACCCTTTCTAAAGCGAAAAATATCCGACTATATAATTTTAACTTCTTAAGTAAAAAATACAATATTAATTTTTTAAAAATGTTAATACTAAAATTTTTTTAATATTGAAATCAATTTTTTTGGACAAAATTTCTATAACTAAACTAAAAAATTATATTGTAATAAAATTGTATAATAAGTAAACATAACATTATAAGTAAATTCAATTTACCTAATTTTACTATAATCAAATAATTTACTTTTATAAAACAATATTAGTTGTTTTTTTTCGATATACAAAAATACTCCTAAAATATTAGGGCATTCACATGGCTCCACGAAAATTTTTCCGCCGAAATGTTAATCGCTAGCCGAACATAACAGAGAGACGCAAAAGAAATAATGGATCGGCCGAAATTTGTCTCTGAGAGCGCCGAGTGCTGGCAGATTATAAGACAAAGAAAGAGAGGAAACCTCCGAATGTCTGCCTCTCTTTGTTGCACGATCGTTTTCGTAGGCAGTCTTCTACGCCGCGCCGACTTCTCTGCTAACGTCAACAGAGGCACAGCAATTTAGGCACAAACAAAAAAGCAAAAAAACTTTTTGCCTTGAGCCATGTCACCGCGTCCCTACTGCAGAACTAAAGCGTAATTTCAAGAAAGAACCAATACCAAGTACCAAAAAATTCCAAATAATTTGGTGGGTGTTGGATGGAACTTAATTCTTATTCAAATCCGGAATTGCGGAAAACTGCGTAAGGGGACAAGCCAAAGCGGAATGCACAGGAACTTTGAGATTGAATGCGGTTGTTCTACAAAATAAAAACACACTGAGAAAAGAAATTGTTGGTGGATTTTTATTTATGTTTATGCATTATTTATGCAGTAGCGGATACACAATAAAAATATATTTGAACATTTTTGGGGGCCTTAATTGGCAAAAGACTGGAAATTAATGATTTCTCACTGTTTGCTTGGCATATACTTGCACAATATTTCTGATGCTTAGGTTTTTTTTTTCGTTTTTATGCATGTACGTATGGACGTAACAATGTTGTAACAATGTACGTATGTAAATTAGTTATTTAGTGCGTGTCAGCTGGCGGGCAGGTCCCACGCAGCAGTCGCTAAAACCG